TGGAGATGAGAGATAAGCCAAAGGTTATCCTTCATCGTGCTCCTCCCTGCGTAAGTAGGTCTTAATACTGCTGGGCTCCATGAGGGCAAATAACACGTCAGATCATGTATGAACAGATGTGGTCTCGAAATGCCCGAAGCCCCCCAAAGCTGGGCCATAGACGCAACCGCAACGGCCCGAACATTAAACCCAAGTCCCTAACCCCTAAACCCCAAACGTGAGACTTAGACCTGAAGTCTTCAACCCTACGCCTTACCGCTCTAAAGCCGAATCACAAGTCCTAACAAGTTTGAAACTGAAATTAACCCCTAAACCCTTCCAAACCGACAAGCACTGGAACTTTCTGCGCTCGCGGGCCTTCTCCTCTTCTGCACCGCCTCGGCTGCGCTCTGCGGAACCGCCTCGCGTGCTTGTTTGGCTGCTGAGGGCAAAGACTTAAGATTACGGGTCTAAGCGTGCTTTTGTTTGGTTTGAGGGCTTAGGTTTTTATGGGGCGCTTTGGGGTGCGGAATTAGGGTTGTAGGGTGTCAAGGGGCTTGAGGAAAGCGGGCGGATGTGTCGCGGGTTTTGGAATTCAGTTTGTTCTGGAGGGTTAAGAATACAGGGCAAAGAAAAGAAAAGCAACACCGTGTTCTCTTCAATGCACTGAAGCAGTTAGTAGGTAGGTCAATCGTAGCACGCCTCCTGCAAATAGCATCTACTAGCAGTCGTCGTAGGCGCCGTGCTGCAGTGGTAGTAGAAGTNNTCGTCGACGTCGTCGTAGTGGTAGTGGCAGTGGAGGTTGTAGTTTTAGTGGTGGTAGTGGTAATAACACTTGGCGTTAGAGCAGCAGGAGAAACAGTAATCCTGGCAGTGGTGGTGCAATCAGGTGCAAGTGCAGTAAGAGTGGTGGTCGCAGGAGTAGTAGTCGAAATGTTCCAACAACAGTAGTACTCCTGAGCAGCCGCAGCCGAACAGTTAATGAACCCTATCTGACAGCCTTTTAACGTCTTCATCTACATTATGACCTAACTTTGCGGATGCTTTACCCTAAACTTCCCTTAACCCAAAGCCCTAAGGAAATCCGTGATTTCGGGCCGCCGGACAAGTGAACACCCGCTCAGGCCCCCAACCTTCAAAGGGACCCTCCCCAAACCCACTGCTTGTCTTGGGGGTGGCAATCTTTCTTCTGCGAGAAGCTCCCAATCTGAAACAACCAGTGAATCATCCCTGCCTCAGAGGCGTGGCACCAGGGGCTCCAGGGGGCCTATCCATGATCAACTCAAGGAGAACCGCAAATGCCGAAGCTGCGATGCTCGCCAGCAGATACCTACGTCGCCTCCGCTTCTAAGTTGATCAAACCCTTGAGTTCGAGGCTCCGGATCCGATTCTCAAAGCAGACATTCAGGTTTCCGATTGCTAGGGGAGCAGGGCGACTGGCAGAAGGACCCTGATCCACCTCCTTCGCGAATTTGGACTGGCACAGGCTCTGTGAAGAAGTACCTGTGGACCTGCGCTGGCGCACATTCGCGTCTCGCCTCTACGCTACTACGTAATAGACCGGGCCTTGAGCCTTGCGCGTCGTTCTGTGCGACCTGTTGTATTTCAAGACATTTCAGCTGGGACGCGGAGTCGCTCCGAGTCAATTCAACATGTTTGTGCAATTCTGTTCTCTATGCAGCTGTCTGGGCTCGCAACGTAGCTGGACGAACTGTTGCAGCTTCAACCTGCGACCACCATGCTACGCATGCGCCATGAACATGGGAACGCAAGCTGTTGCAAAGCTGCGCCTTTCTTCCTGCAACGCTGCCGAAAGCTCTCGCACTTTGACCCTGCCACAAGGGGCAAAGCCCCTGTCGCCTCGTCGCCCGCTCTTCACCGCAGCCGCCGCGGCAAACAACAAGAAGAAAGATGACAAGGCCATGCCAACTCCAGAAACAGTCCAAACACTCAGTTGGCACCGTGGAGGCGGTTCTCAGCACCAAGCGCGATTGATCTGTGTTGCGTGCACTTTATGAGACAGGGAGGCAAATCAACATGATTCATCTTGGAAAGCAAACGCAGGCCCGCTTTCCATGCACTCACAGTCTGCCCAGACATCTGCTGATTGATGTGAAACAGAGAAGCTCTCAGAAGGTCCACCAACAGCCTAGCCTTCTTGCCGCGACCTGAAAGACCGGGCGAATGAAACTTGAAGCGTCCTCAAGCAGTTGTTTCATCTTGCTAAGACCTGAAGTATTGAAACTGGATGAAGCTGGTAAGGCCCAGTCTCGCTTGGCCTTGATTTCTTTTTTGGCCTCGGCGAGTACACACAAGATAAGAGACAAACACTCCCAGCTGCCAGGCAAACGACAATTTTGCGTCACCGCGCGCTGGGCCGATGACAAGTTTTCTTCGGTGTTTCTTGGGGAGAGCGATGATATCCTGATAACGCAAAATGGCAATCAAAAGGTTCCACCATATCCAAATGAAAAGTCTCAGAAAACGAAAAAGGATGATCGTCGAGAGCAAGACATCTTGTCTTGAAGAAATAGCATCCACATCGGATACAATACAAGTGCTGCACATTGCAACCATGGGCAACTGATCCTGCAGAGTGCACGAAAGCTAGCTGTTAGGTGAGTGATTGTGTCCACAAAACAACCATCTCAGTACTGCAAGCTTGCATGTCCACCTTCGATCTGATCATACAACGCAACAGTCGGAGATATTGCGTCACAACGCTATCCTGCTGGTTTTGTTACCTAAAGGTGCGTGTTATCGCAAAGAGAAGCTTCTTACGGTGAATGGCATGCCGTCAATAGAGCCTTGTGTTTTTGCAGTACCTTGGTCCGTTTGACCAAATGCTCGCATCCTCACGCATGATTCAAGTCACTTCTAGCTCAGATAACCCAAGCAAGGCATTCAGCTCTTGCTGTCCCTGTCGAAGAGCAGACTTGCTCTGCATTATTCAATCTCTCATTTCCTTTCAGGACTCTCTCCAGGTAGATACGAAATGATTCGAAGGAGCCCGCACCTGGACCGCACGTTATCCTGACATCGCCTCATCCAACACCTTATCGGTGCACATTGCAACGGAAAGCTGCGCATTTTTCCTCGTAGCATGACTCTCATGGAATCTTTCAACGGTTTGATGATTAGCCTACTTTGCTGCAACTCTTTGGAAAGCCTCTGAGGTCACAGTTGTCATGGGCATCTTGAAAGCGCAAAGAAAAAACAAAAGGCAGACATGCAGTGGGCAATGTGCCGCCCTCACAACCCAAATCGCAATTATTGTGGATAAGAAGACGCCAACTCCCTGCAGCCTCCCTGACAATGTCCAGCTTGAGTGTGTGTTTGCTGTAGGTCTTGCTTGTTTTGACAGCAGGCCTCATCGCATTCTCCGCTGCTCAAGGCTTCGTTTGAGACCTCGCGAAGGGCTTCATGTGAGCTCATCTGTGAAAGAACCCTGGGACTTCAGAAACTGTTGTATTCTGATTTCGACACCCCACTATGACATCCATGCTCCTCTCAAGCAGTCGGAGATCCCTGATTGTCCATCCAATCCATGATTTCTTTAATAGCCTTCCACTTGCTTAGACAGTGGACAAGTGCGTGGAGGACCTTCGTCCAGTGGATTGCAAGGTTGCTCCTCTTTAGCCTAGCCAACAACACCACTCAGTTGCAATCCTTTGGAGAAGGCCTTTGTCACAACCAGTCTAGGGTAAGAAATGACAAAAGATGATCGGTGAACCAGAAAGAATTCTTGGTGGAACCTCTATACAGAAGCTCTTCCAAAACACGTTTGCTGCAAGCCAGGCGCAGCTGAGTATCCAACTGACCCGCCCTCCTGCCAAATCCATGATGCTCTGGTGGCTGTGTCGACATCTTTGTGCAAAAACCACACATTGCAAAGACCAACCTGCCCGTGCATATTGCCGCATGTGATGTCACAGCAGAAGTGAACTGGGCAATAATGTTCGATGGCCTTCGCATATAGCAAAGGGCAATGGTCGGCTCAATTATTGTGTTGAATGGGAGCAAAGGTGAGAGGCAGCTTGAACAAGTCAAAGGTTCTGGGTATTTCGGCCGATGTCCTCTTCAAACGGAACAGCGGTAGACGCCAAAGACAAGCGAGGTGGTCGAGGTGGCGAATCCGACCTGTGGTCACTTTCAGCTAAACTCCGGTCACGGGCATTGGGCCGGTCGTCTTACCCCTTTGCTGACAAGACACTTGCAAGCACGCAATGCCAAACAGTCTTGTTGCCTCAGGACAGTGGCGGTTTGGTCCTATGATCTGCTAAAGGATTCTCGTTCGTTGGGGGTCCATGCTTTTTACCCCCTTATGACCAACGCTAAAGCGGGCAGATCAATCACTCGACGCTTTCGCATGCCGAGGCCTCTGTTGCAAATCTTGCATAGCACGCTGAGTTCTTCACTCCTGACACAGTTTCTTCAGGAGCCTCGCGTGGACAGGCCCCATCTTTCGCACACTTTGTCTCAACACTTGGGGCCGCACTTCAAAGCGGTTCCCCCAAAGCCAAACCGGAGCACCTACCACAGAACAAACAAACTGAAAGCCTGGTTTGAAACTTGGAAGCGCCAAGGGCATTCTCTACAATCATAACGTACAGGCTTGCGGGCACTTGCCTGCTGGACAACACCAGCCGGCCATGATGCGGCAGCCCGCAGAAACGCCACACCGGAAGCCAGCACCGCAAGGTGACCAACGAATGCATCGATCGCAGCTCCCTTTACCTTGCAAGTGCACACATAGCTCCAAGATACCGCGTCCCTGAAGTTTATAGCTGCATATATTTCTCGGCCTGCCCAACATGAACTTCTCTTCGAACCACAGGCAACTCGCTGAGGCTCTCAAAGACCTGCGCTGCCACGGGGGGCAACAAAACTTCCAAGAGAGGTTTCCTTGTCTTGTTTTTAAGAAAATTTAGGTGCTTTGTGGGCCCTAACCCCTTGAAAAAAAAACACGTTGAAGTTGAAGTCCAACTCATATTAGCACTGGCCTCAGCCTCATGGCGACCAAGCTTTGCATAGCGCTCTGTGTGCACCCGCTCTGCCCATGCCTGGCAGCAAAGTATCTCCAATTGGCACGCATGACTTGAGGTCTTGCTCTGATTGCTGGAAGAGTCAACCAAAGTTTCACGCCTGCACACGAGGTTGAGCTTGCTCCCAAGCCCACCAGCGGCTCGCCATGACAGAGCGGCAGGAAATCCGATCAGAAGACCTTCTTCGTGGCTTAATCGCTACACTTGCGATGTCCATGTGATGCTACGCTTTCCTTCATTCTGCTACGCTGCAGTAGAAGCTGAGCCAGGTAGTTTGAGGATTTGAGGAGGCATGTGTCTGCAAAAACATGTCCGGGCATACAGTCTAAATATGCACATTTCAATTTCAGGTCTGCTTCTTTGCCCATGGCGAAACGTCTCGAAGTCTCGAGCCGGTCAGCACTGGAATGACAACGCTCAAACCAAATTTCCTGCCCTCAAAACGTGCTGCGCAAACATGAGCCACAGAGCCTCATGGCATCGCCTTGCAGTTTGTTCCTGTGAGTGGAACTAGCAGTGGCTGGTGCTAATGCATGCATCCAGTTCAGAGTTCTAGATATCCGAAACCGCAGATCTAAACCCTCCTCATCCCGAACCTCCCAAACCCTCACCCCCTGATCGTGTATCTTCGTCTCACCCAGAACTCCAAAGTCCGATAGTCGGATACTCTGCCAACATGGCATGGAAGTCGGCAATAGCGCGAGCATAGCCAAGGCTTTTCTTCCAACGCACTTTCAGACATAATCTTGCTGCAGTCCTCGCGCTCACGTCCTGTCAACTCAAAATCGCAGGACGTCGACCGAAAGTCACATCGCTACGCCCACGAGAGGTAACCGGCCCTAGATCGCCTCCGGTTGGAGTCCTCTTTATGACATTTATGAGCTGCGAAGCTTGAGTTCTGAGACACGACTACTGCTACTGTTACGACCATTACTACTGCTGCTGCTACTGTTCCCCTGCTAGATGTACAAGCGGCGCGCATGTTGCGCGCTCTCTTCCCTCTGTCACGGTTACACATGAATAACATTGCAAACATGGGTAGCAGCATGCCTCTGGATACCTATCCATGTGTGTGTCTATGTGCGCCGTGTGCATCTACAGTTGCTGCCTTCTGTTGCACTGCCAGCAGTCCACAGTGGGCGGGTGAAACGCGGTGAAACGTGTGAGATGCTCGCGTGTGGGGCGTCGTTATTGCCATAATGATCGGAGGGGAAGGGCAAACAAAGACTGCTATGAATATCGCGATTCAGGGCTTGCGAGCGGCCCGCCGAAGCTTTGCCAGCGCCTACAAAGACGAGACGAACTGCCATCAGCACAAACAGAGTAAACGTTTCGCTTGCCAGCCTTGCGTGTTCGGCTCGTGTACGCTGGGCGCGACTCCTCAGTCCCCGAAACAAAACATGTGTAAGAAACCTTCTTGACACGCAGACCTGCAATGCCCTACTCAAGGGCTGTGGAAAACAAGCCGGCCTGCAGTGCTGTTGGAACGACCTGAATGCAACCAAAGCAAGGTTGAAACATCCCCAGCTGCAGGATCAAATCAGAGTATTCTTCTGCAGCAAGCACTCAAAGGGTCCGAATCACGAGCTGACTTCGACCCTATGCTGGGCCTCTTGAATCTGGACTTGGGGTACTTCGACCACCGTCTCCATGGTGCAAGCCTTTGGCACCTGCACGCTGAGACAACTTGCCGAAACCATCAAAGTAATTAGCACGTTCTACATGCCTACAGCAAACAAAGGAGCCAACAAAAAACGTTAATCGTGGGTAGCCCAAAAAGCATGAAGATCCCATGACTTCGATGTAAACCACCGCCTCTACCTGGTAATGGTAGCATTTCAGATGCCAAGACTCCTCCTATCTGCTTCAGCCCACAAACCGTGCCCTGTCGTGTTCACTGCACAGAGTTGAAGGCAGCCATGGCGGCCGCGCACAGTAGCATGCACAAGGAGGTTCCTGTCGTCACACTCCTCCTTCGGATCTCAGTCCCCGGCCAGCTGATCGATCTCTCTCGGATCTCGGGGACCAAGGCCTTCCTTCTCGTCCGAGCTCCCGCCCATCTCGCGGCACGCGCCTTCGAGCCAGGGGCGTCAGAGACCTTCGTCTTGGGCGCGGCCTGAGCTCGGCCGCGATCGCATGCAAAGAACATCTTGCAGACGCAGCTGGGTCGGGGAACGGCTGTTCCGAATCTTGCTGTTGTGCCATGGCCTCCTCCTTGCCAAGGCAACTGTGAGGCCCGTTCCCTCAGAACGGGCTGCAAACACGCAGACTGCAGAGGCCTGTTCCATGACCAACCTCTGCCACTCAACAGTCTCCATGGCCTCGGAGATGCTCAAAACCCGCAGAGACGCAGACCAGAGGCAGAAGGGCCGGTGCACACTTGTAAGGCCTGGACATCTTGTGCAGCGCCAAGTAAATCACAAGCACCAAGCAGTTCTTCACGGTGTCCCCCATCTGTTCGATTGCGCTCCCCACGATCGTGATCTCGAACATCTCTTGGCCTTCCAGCGAGGCAATGTGAAAACGCCAGCGTTCCGGGTGTCTTTTGTCTGCCGCAGGACCCGGACCTGGCTGGCAACGCCTCCACACTTGACGTTTGATGGCTCAACGAGTGAATGACGACAACAAAACCCGATGCATCACAAAATGCCGGACGGACCTTGGCTGTGGCTCCAGGAGGAATCCTGCGTATTGCACCTGGTTCTACTGGCTGGTCCGGCTGAAACTGGGCGCCGGGATGTTCGAAACGTGGCCTCGATCTCGCTGCAACTCCGGCTTCATCCCCCGATCTGGCCTTCGAGCTTCCACAGCTTCTGCTGTTAAGGACAAAACTCCACTACTGTGGCGAGGCTTGCCGGCAGCCCATGGATTCCACAATACTCCAAGCAGCAAGGAAGGCTCGCGCCTCTACTTCTGCTTCAGACAAGAGCAGGGCTCGAGCAGTAGGTGTGCTATTGGCTAGTTGCTGATGCCAAGCTTCGCTAAGGGAAGCATCTGCATGTTGAAACCTCAGCGAACATTGATCAACTGCCCCAGCCGGATGCATTAATGAGTTCACACACACACACACCGCCTAAGCAGCCAGCTTCTCCTCAGCATGATCATGTTGATGCGCTTGCCCAGTCCGGCCTTCCGGGTTTCAAGCTTTCTCCAGCCAGGTTTCTACAAATCGACACCAGCAGTACTGACTGTGCTTCGAAGGTCCAGCGGCTTCTGTTGCTTGTCCGCTGTGCCTTGACAGCAATCTTGGTGGCATCGATGATGAACAGCTTTGCCTTCACACTTCACTCCAATTCGTGCCACGCTCCCACAAGATCGGGACTTGGAAGTTAGTCACAACTAGTCGTTGGGTGTCGACAGGAGTCTGCAATCACCCGTGCCTGCTTCTCTGCCAGATCCCGCCGCATCTTGGCAGGCAGCTGCTGCTCCAACTCCTTCACATCCCAGGAGCAATTGATCACGCACACTGCGTTCCTCTTGAGGTAACGGGTCATGTCATCGGAACGAACTGCCAACAGGAAGCCCCGAATTCCGATCCCCAGCTCCGAGCACGTGTGCGGACGAAACAGTGCAAGCTGACAAGCACAACTCCATGTCTGGTAGGGAGCATGGTTGCGCATGTAGCTTGATTTGTGGGTGGCCATGTCGTCGGCAGCACAAACGTTGTAAGGGGCATGAATTGGTTTGGGCCCGAACCTCAAGTGGCTGATTGTCACACCGCCGCTCTTCTTGGCATCATGCTCGAAGTATGCCTGCCCGTGGCGCGAGAACTTGCGAGGGCAAGCGAGAGAGCGAGAGAATAAGAGAGACGGACAGACTCGGCCGGGCCTGCCCAAGGAGCTCGGTTCCGCGGGCGATCATCTTCACGGCGCTCTCGTTTGTCCCGACGGTGCCATCACTGCCAAGCCCGTAGAACATGCACTCTGTGGTGCTTTCTGGAAGCACGTTGAGCCATAGGCCCAGCGGCAAAGACAGGCGTGACATCGTCTTCGATGCCCACGGTGAATTTAGGCTTCGGGCTGTCTTTGGCGAGATTCTCGAAGACGGACAGATGCGCTCAATAATTCGCTACTTTGCGCGCCAGTATTTGATGCACTGCATGCAAGGCCCGCCTTTAAGGCTAGGCACATCAGCAAATGTGAAACAGGTGCTTGTCCGACCAGGTGCCGGCAAATGAATAGCATGCCAGGTAAGGATTATGACCCTATCAACGATTTACACTCCTGCACGTTTGCTCCCCCACTCCTGGAAGCAGCGTGGGTGATCTCACCGCTTCCCCATCCAAAGTCAGCTAATGTCAGCTGGAAGTTGCAAGAAGCATAGGACTTTGCCCATGCGACGATGCAGGGTTAAAGGCCTCTCAAGTTGTGGTTTTGAACGATGCTAGGTCACATATTACGCCAAGCGATGAGGACCTGCTGAGCGTGGCCGACCTTCCCAACGGCTTTGCAGGCCTTGTAAACCCTGTCCGGGGGTGGCCTCCACTGATGACACTCTGTCTGTCGAACTACTAACTACTGGTATTGGAAGCCAGGAACATCGGGAATCACCGCGCCGCTGCCGAAACCCATCCAATGGTTGTCCTGCAGCGACAACTCAGGGTCTTTCGAAATAATTTGATAAAGCTGATGGCTCTGGATTAAAAGCTCGGGTGTTCCTTGGAACTTTGGACTGGGCATTGCACAAGAACAAGACAGTGAGACCGGCTCTGCACTGCGAGTGACTCCTCAAGGCCACTCTATCTGCTGGTTGTGCATAACCTGCTGGTTGTAAATACTCTTTCAGTCGACAACTCTGCTCAGGCAGGAAACCTAAACTACCGCAACCACGAACCCTGAAACTGACAACCCCGGTGTTCCGAAAAGGTCCTCAACCTTCAATGCCTTTGATTTGATCCTCATACCCCACAACCCCCAAAGCCCTTGAGCAGAAAGGTGTCGAAAATGTCCTTGTGCCAGAGACTGCCACAGCCACTGATCGGAAACCTAGGTTTGGTTGCAGATTGGGTCCTTCTCGCAGTTAGGGGATTGTGACTGATCGTGTAGCGCCATGCTACTAAACCCCACAAAGCTAAACCGCAGTGCTACGTCAAGCCTCCGACAGGAATCGGGGTGAACGACCGAGCAGCGCTGTGGCTTGAAAACCGAGGGAGTCCATACCACAGAAGACCTGTTGCACGGCAACCCGAAGCTCATCTTCGGGTGGTATCCTTCTGTTTAATTCATAGAGAAGGTCTAGGATGTGAAGTTCCCAGCTGCTCGGAGTAGACTTGTTAAGCTTGGGACTCCTAACGCTCGGGGCTTTGAGCTCGTTGGGAATTGTAGGGCTCGGGTCTTTGCGCAGATGAAAACTCGCACGATAAATACTATAGTTGAAGACTCCCTGGAGATTGGCTGAGATTGGGTGTCACTCAGCGCAGAGCAGTGGCACAAGTTAAATACCGCCTGACTGGGCAAACCTCGCGATTGTGCAGCTGCCGGATTCACGGGATCAGCTATCTGACCCAGCAAAATTCTGACAACACTGCCGAAACACCGAGTTTGTTGGGACCACGATCTCCAGGTCGTTCATGTCATACCTTGAATCCTCAAGCCTGAACTCTGAATCGCATGCACCCCAAGGCCCTGGATCTCAGACTCCTCAAGACGTCAACCCTTCAACCCAGCTGTCAGTCAAGCATCCGTCATGAAGGCCGGCCCCAAAGAAGGCGGCGATTCGTAGACAAAGGCCTGTCCACACAGCTCCAATTCACTGGGCCTTGAAACCTGAACCCTAAACCCCAAAAGTTCCGACTTGTTCTTGCAGGCCTGGGTGCCGCGCCAGAGGAGATGCTGCGCATGGCCTGCCTGGAGTGTACGTGCAGGTTAGACCTCTATCTTGACGTCAGTTCTTTCTGTGCGCCGGGTGCTTTGAGTCGGGAATCGGGGATTTCGTGGGTCTTCAGATTTACCTACGCACGTAGAAATAGGTTTCAGATTCAGGATAGGGTTACGATCGGAAGCGAGTCGGGGGCCTCGGAGGGCTGTAGTTTTCCAGGGTGCCGCTGGGATCCTCTCCGGAACTCGACCCTCAAACCTAAACCCAACTAGAGTTGCGATTTAGAAGGGCTTCATGGATTCATTGCCGAGGGTCAGTCGGCAAACCGCTGCCGCTGCTGACCAAATTCATCCTCGTGTTCGGCAGGGCCAGGGTTCCACTTTGGGATTTTGGCTTGGAAGGCGGAGGCCTTTGAGACGTCGCGCGCAGGGCACTTGTCAAGTGATGAGCTCGATGGCAGAGACGTAGTTGCCGACGGCTCAACCCCCACGACGTCTGCCAATGTCGGAAGGGCTCAAAGCTTTGAGACTCTTGGACCTCTTAACTTGGGCAAGCGTCTTCTGCGGCGTCTTGGTCTCGATGTTCACGTCTCCGTCGCTGGGGCTCCAGTCGAGGTCCTAGCCCCAGTCGAGGCCGTGGTGGTACTAAGGAATGGGCCATGGGCTTATATGGCCGACTCCGTTAATGTATAGGATCTCGCTTGGATCTTGTATCACACCCCGGATGGCCGTGACTCTACATCGTGCCGTCGGGAAAATACTTACCTATGACTATAAGTATACAAGCACCCCTTCCAAAGAAGTGTCTACGCCAGAACACATGATACAATCACACGCTAATCAAACGCTCCGCTGGGAAGATGTGTCTGTGACAGAACACCTCTCCAAACATCTATGACAAGACGCAGTACTGGCAGTTCCTCGGGAAGCAACGTCGATGACAGAATCATAAAGTACAAGCCTCGCCTTCAGTCCTGACTTCAGATAGGACTGCATCGAGTCATGAATACAATCGATCTCGTTTAAAGCGGTCCCCCAATCTCCTTCAGAGTCTCTCATTCTCGAGGTCGGACGAAGAGCATTATTAAAGCTACCGAAACCCTGAGCCACTTACTTGCAATGTCCTCCTCGTCCAAAGCGGTTTCTTCCGACCTTGCGGTTTGGGACACCACAGCCCTCACAAAGCCGGAGTTCTCAGTTCTCTTGGGGCCCCGGCCAGAATGGTGGCAGGACAGGTGTCAAGTCGAGTTCCTGCGCCCAAAAGCTGTAGACGGCCCTAACCCCACAATCGACACGGCAAAGTCTACAACCGATGAACCCCAAACTTGAAGTTCAGCCTAGGACGTACAAAGCGGAAAGCCTTCAAGCCTAGCGTGCATGTTCAATGCTGGACCTGTAATGTGCATCAAACACTCACTCAAGTTCGGCCTGGTACTGAGGTTTTGTGGCACAAAACACAGAAAATGCTCCGACCCGCCCCCGAAAAAAACACACACAGAAACTCTGTAAACAATCATCGGGAACCCTACCTCCTTCATGTCGTCGGGTGGCGGGGTGGGGACCCTAAATCCCGAACCCTAGCCTTGAACTCTGAACCCGCGGAGTTTATGCAAACATTGGATTCCGAACCCTCTCGTCCCGTTCCCGGCCGCTGCTGACAGGCTGGTGATTCTACTTGTGGAGTGATAACCCAAGTACATTCAGGGTTTAGTCACTAAGTTCATGATGACCAATATGCTACATTACCAAGTTCACCCTGCTAATCTGAATCACCAGCCGCCCCGCTGACCTGTGCTCCTTCACCGGTGTCCTTTCCGTGCTATGTCCGACGCGCGGCCTCGGCGACAACTGGATCCCCAATGCGGCGCTATTTGGGAGTTGTAGTAACTCAGGAACCGGATCCCATTGGCCGATACATAGGTGCATAAAAATATATATATATATATATATACAGTACATACAAAATCTCAAAACTGGCATAGCCCAACAGATCACGGCACGAGCGACTGCAGCTCTGAGGCCCCAAGCCGGACTCCTGTTCGGCCTCGGGGGCAAAAGGGCAAATTTGGGCAAATACAAGTTGCCGTGAACTGCATGACTTGGGAGTTTCCGAAAATAGGGGATCCTAATATAGTACCCTAGATAGTAGGATCATTTATTATATGGACCCCCAAAATACGGTACCCCTAATTTTCGGAAACTGCCACTGCTGAGCTGCGGTCGCATTATGCCGCCTTTGCCTTTTCCCTTGGACTCCATCTTTGCCTTCCCCTTGCCTGCACAAGCACGCCCGGAGGATGCAGTGCCAGAGACAAGATGCAGCTCGCCTTGGCCTTTCGGCACAGGGGTCTGTTCTTCGAGAATAATTGCCTGCGACAGAGCTTCGTGGGCAGATAGATTTCAATGGCAGCAAGCTTGCAGCACGTCAAGGCTTTGTTCCATCCGCCGGGCCTTTCCATTTCCTTTGCCACCCTTGAAGCCCTTCATGGCCTTTCCGCCCTTCCTGAGTTGTAGAAGCAAGATGCAAGAAAGGCAGAGCCACAGGGTCTTTTGCTGACTAGATTCCCGCTTGCTTTGCAGTAGCCAGCCATCACGGATGCAACCTGGAGCCAGCTCGCAAAGCTCCACGAAGTGAAAACGCTGGCTCAAAGAAGCTGGGAAGCTGGCTGATCAGCGGAAAGTGTGCCGCGGGGGTGTCTAAAATCTAAAGCACGGAGCGTGTTCAGAGCCACGCGCCAGCACATGCTCATGGACTTCCGGCAGATCACGGAGGAGACAGGACAGCGCCCAGGCGTGTTCTGGGAAGTGAGACGCAGAGGGAGGCCTGACCCACTAACCCAATTCACTCGCAGCAGCCTCCCAACAGCCAACAACAATGCACCCTGACCATACGACTGCTACTGCTACTAATACTGCGACTGCGACTGCACTGCGACTGCGTCTACGGCTGCGACTGTGACTGCGACCACGACGACTGCTACTCCTACTGCTGGTCCTACGACTATACTGCCACGGAAACACTACCTGCACATTGCGACTTCTTTACATTACTGTCTCGACAAATACAAACGTTGAGCAGGCCTCCACCTCCTGCTTGAGAGCTCCGCCGGGGGTGCAACAACTTGGGGAAGGCACTACAACTGCTACAGACGGCACACCGGACAAAGAAGCGTGCATACAGTACAGTCGCGCGCGCGCGCGCGCGCCGAAGGGTAGAGCTTGTAGGCGGTACCTGGTACATGGGCCGATAGCACACCTGTGCCATGATGGGTGTGCAGCGAAGAGCGCCACACACTCGTGGTTGTGTCATTTCTGTCACGTGCCAGGAAAACCTGCTGTTCCTTTCACCTGCGCTAGACCGCGGCTATTTTTATGTACCTACAATATAGGCGGTATGGCGATTGATGCATGCGATGTCTTTGTTGATTGGCTCGAGACGGCTTCCGGTCACGACATTTGGTGGTACAGGAATTACACCAAGGTCTGGGCAAAGAAGATGGCTCATGGAGAGTCGGTGGCTGGACTTGGCCCCCAGAAGTACTGTTTCACATTAGCATGGCGTGCAAGTCGGCACTGGCAACAGCGCGGGCATAGCCAAGGCTTTTCTTCCAACGCACTTTCACCATATTCTCGCTGCAGTCCTCGCGCTCACGTCCTGTCAACTCAAAATCGCAGGACGTCGACCGAAAGTCACATCGCTCCGCCCACGAGAGGTAACAGGTAACCGGCCCTAGATCGCCTCCAGTTGGAATTCTCTTTATGAGCTTTGAAGCTTGAGTTCTGAGACACGTGCGAAAACACACACACACACACACACACAAGGAGCCAAGAGGAGCCTGCCTCCTCCCGGCAGGCTGCCTGCTGGACTGCGATGCGTCAGATCATGCCACAATGCTGCAGCTCAGCTTATGGCAGCACTTCTTGCCCTCGTGCATACTTATTACTTGTATTGGGGGTGCGGGGAGTCGAAAGCCTCCTCTGCTGCGAAAGGAAGAGAGGAGCTCTAGTCTCTAGTCTGGTCAGTCGAGTCATCGTCAAGACCGAGCTGAAAGCCGCTTAGAGGGCCTGTTCCGTCTTCTTGAGCGGGACCGGCTCTTCAGGCGCAGGTCCCTGCCTTGGCCGCCTTGGCTGCATGAAAGCTGCAGCTCGACTCTGCTTCAGCCCACAACCCGTGCCCTGTCGTGTTCACTGCACAGCGTTGCAGGCAGCCATGGAGGCCGCGCACAGTAGCACAAGGAGGTTCCTGTCGTCACACTCCTCCTTCGGATCTCAGTCCCCGGCCAGCTGATCGATCTCTCTCGGATCTGGGGGACCAAGGCCTTCCTTCTCGTCCGAGCTCCCGCCCATCTCGCGGCACGCGCCTTCGAGCCAGGGGCGTCAGAGACCTTCGTCTTGGGCGCGGCCTGAGCTCGGCCGCGATCGCATGCACAGAACAACGTGCAGATGCAGCTGGATCGGGGAACTGCTGTTCCGAATCTTGCTGTTGTGCCATGGCCTCCTCCTTGCCAAGGCAACTGTGAGGCCCGTTCCCTCAGAACGGGCTGCAAACACGCAGACTGCAGAGGCCTGTTCCATGACCAACCTCTGCCACTCGACAGTCTCCATGGCCTCGGAGGTGCTCAAAACCCGCAGAGACGCAGACCAAGGGCAGAAGGGCCGGTGCACACTTGTAAGGCCTGGACATCTTGTGCAGCGCCAAGTAAATCACAAGCACCAAGCAGTTCTTCACGGTGTCCCCCATCTGTTCGATTGCGCTCCCCACGATCGTGATCTCGAACATCTCTTGGCCTTCCAGCGAGGCAATGTGAAAACGCCAGCGTTCCGGGTGTCTTCTTTCTGCCGCAGGACCCGGACCTGGCTGGCAACGCCTCCACACTTGACGTTTGATGGCTCAAACGTGTGAAGGACGACAACAAAACCCGATGCATCGCAAAATGCCGGACGGACCTTGGCTGTGGCTCCAGGAGGAATCCTGCGTATTGCACCTGGTTCTATTGGCTGATCCGGCTGAAACTGGGCGCCGGGATGTTCGGGACGTGGCCTCGATCTCGCTGCAACTCCGGCTTCATCCCCCGATCTGGCCTTCGAGCTTCCACAGCTTCTGCTGTTAAGGACAAAACTCCACTACTGTGGGGAGGCTTGCCGGCGGCCCATGGATTCCAAATCTTGATGGTACGAGTAGTGACGAGTAGTACGAGCAGTAAAGTCCAAAAGAGGAGCACCCACCAGGACTTTGTCCCAGCTCGGCCTTGGCCTGGCCTCATCCGTGCCTGTGGGTGCGCTCGTGCCGCCCCGCGCTTTGCACAGAGTGAGTCAGCTCTCGGATGCCCGGCCTTGCTCAGGAGTCGGCTCCGGAAGCCGTGCTGGGCGCCGCTGCCTTCCTGGCGACGGAGAAATTCATGAAAAGCGTGGTTCGCTGGTTCGACGGAGCAGTGGGGCAGACGTTGCCTCCGTCAGCACGAGCATCCAACCTGACAACGACAAGACCCTCGGCGGAACTCCTGAAGCGCCCGATGCCCATCGCAGCCTCGGCTCCTCGTGCACAGGTGCGTAATCACCTGCTTCGGGCACACCAACAATCGCAAAAACAATGCATCAGCACAGCTCGATCTTCGTCACAGCAAGCCTGGGGGGTTGCCTGGGCCGGGGCTCGGAGCATCGGATTCCCTCCTTCGCCGCCGACGGCGACTGTGGCCTGCAGGGCCCGGACCTGTGTCATCACACCTTGCTGTGCTCTCATTCTGCGCGCAGAGAGCGCCTGGACCCTCCTCGCCATTCGTCGGCAGGACATCGGACCTGGCACTCTCGCATTGAAGCACGTGGGCTTCGGGGCTGGAGCTCTCGCCGCGCTCTCAGGCCTCGCTTCTTTGGAGATGCCGTTCTCTTCCGCTTGCCCTGCAAGAATGTTCAAGGACAGAAGAAGGTAACACGTCCAGGATGTTGCAGTGTCGCTGCCAACGACTCATTGTGCCCTGTGCTGCCCCACTGAACACCTGCATCTGCATGGTTGTGCTTCCGACGCCGTCGGCGCCCTTTCTCCTCGTGCATTCGACAGGACCACTTCTGCCGAACAGCGGCAGTGGGCAAAGGCGCCTTCGGCCGCTTTTCTCGCAACAGCGGGTAGGCTGGCTCAAGCCTTGAGAAAACCGAGCTTTGCATGCTTGAAACCAGCGAGGGCATTGAAGCCAGTCGGTCAGGTCTGGGCGGCTCTTCCACCACCTGCCAATGTTTCGGACAGCTTAGATCTCACCAAGCACTCAGTCTCAACATTCTCATGCGTCCAAATAGGAACCACTTGGAGTTTCTACTCACCTAACAGTACAACCTCCGACAATAATTAGTGGCGCCCTGGTAAGCCCTTGAGCGCTCAGCAGCTATCACATGGTATAGGTAACATCCTGAATGCCTGTGTCTAGAGTGTGTGGGCGCGTTTGTGAAGGTGTGTGACAGTGTCTGCGTTTGTCATGTTCGGCAGGTTTGTGACTTTCATCATCTGCTTCCCGGCAATGACTGTCGGCGCTCGCCGACAAAGCGTTTGACGAGGACATGTCTGACGACCGAAATCAAACCCACAACTGCTTCCAGAAGCACATGCCTTTTCGGTCTATGCACTGCGCTGCTTCTGCCATTGATCTGTGTGCGTAAAGGCAGTAGCTAGAGCTGCAAAGCCGGTACTATCTTGCACTCAGGAAGACAAGATCCGTCCTGAGGCCTTCTGCTGGAGCTTGGAAGAAAGCTCGCACAGTATCTTGAGAAAATTACGGTAACTATGCGCTGTACATGACTGTACCCAAGCCTGTGGGCGAAGGCTGCATTTCTGCCTTACACATCACGCGGCTCATTCCTGTACCTCACTTCACGTTCTCCTGCGCGTCCCTGAGCCATGGAGCTCAGTTCACGCCCAGAGCTACAGAGGGAAGAGAAGGGACGCACCGACTTGTGGCTCCCTATTAGATGGAAGTTGGAATTTAATCTCGCAGCATCGGATTCGTGGCCGTGCCGAAGCACGAACTCCGTGCCTTTGGCGCCAACTCCGCAGCCGGGGCTTGAACAGCCACTGAAACAGGCCGCTTCGCCTCGGCTCCCCGACAATTCACCAAGCCCGTCGGCTAGGTACTGCATCCAGGGGTGAGCATTGCTGCTCGCGTTTTACTGCGATAGTCTCCGTTTCGTTGTTCGGAGGGATTCCAAGGTGCACCGAACTGAAAACCATCCTATCAATAGTGGCCGCGTTGCGTATGCTGATTGCCGGGCTTCTCCACATCTGTGTGCTCCTGGTGCTGGGGTACTCTGCTTCTCTGAAGCGGTCCCTCCGGAGTCCCTCCGCTGCCAAGGAGCAGCGAGTTCTGGCCGTGGGAAGAGTCCAGGGGCCAGGTACTCGCCGAGATCGTATACCAAGACCTCGTCACACAGGGGCAAAATGGTCCACCCATGTCCACAACTGCCCCCCTCTCTTTTTTTCTCGCTCTCGCGCCTGGTCATCCGTAAGGAGCGGCAAAGAGGAGATCAACCCTGCGGTCAGCGCTTCTCGCAGCAAAGGCAAAGCCTGACAAGCCATGATGCAAACGTACGGCATGGCGGTTGGGTCATGCTCTATCGGACTCTAGCGCAGTGTCTTGTTGCAGCCATGACAGCAGACACGGCGCCGCCCAGAATGTTCTCGGGCATGATGGAGAAGGCCACGGTCGGCTCGGAAACGAAAGTCAAAGCCACCAGACCCACATACGGGTATCCCTGCAAAGGGCTAACAGTAGTTGAGATCACACCTTGACAAACTTTCCACATCAAAGGCCTGTGGGGCTGCCTCCATTGCAACGGCGATAGGCACCGGCCCGAAGACAAAATCCTCAAGAAGCCACAAAGCAGAGTAGGCCCTGGGTAGGCTGGACTACCTGGTCATCGTTTGAATGCCCCCGCCATACACTGCCATAAACGTGTGGCGCTCATGTGCGCACCACCAGCGCGAGGGCAACCAGAATGGCATGCAAAGTGTATCACACACACACACACACATGCACATGCGGCATGCGAGTAGTAGCGAGCATAGCATTGGTGATTTTGGTGCTGCTGGTAGGTATGGGTACAACGCTTGGGTACCACATACCCGGCGCTCGACTTCCTGAGGGTCCAACCCCAAGGCGCACCCGTAGCTGAGGGAAAAGTGGGAGCGAGCCAACGCCAGATCTTGCACTGGCTTTCACCAACACCTGAGAAGGACACAAGGGCCAGTTTTCACTGCATGCTTCGTGCCGCGGCCTCAAACTCCTGATCCGCAACCCAAAGAAGATCCGCCTACCAGAGACCAGCTGGCAGCAACTTGAAAGCGAGAGCAGCAGGCGGTGCCTCCATCATCACCACTTGCCTGGGACTGGAGCCCAGCCCTGCATCCCCGCCCGGCCCCCCCTTCCTTCATATACATAACTGACATAACTCATTAAAACAACGACTGTGAACAGAGGCTAAACTCAACTTTGCCGGGCGTCGGCCTGAGACTTCCCTTCGGGCGCCCGTCGCGGGCCGCGGTCATCGCCTTGCCAAGCGCCTGCTCCGCGCTTTCCCTGGGCATGCGGACGGCGTCCAGCACAGGAGGATTCAGGCCGAAGGTGACCTCGGCTGCTTTGCGCGGCGGCCTTCGCTTGGCTTTGCACAAATCCTGGAAGGCATCATAGTAGGCATCATGACAGTCGTGAGCTGCAGCGAAAGATGACAATCCTCATTCAGGACATGGTCCCTGATGTGCACCTAACGACTTCCTGCAACGCAGCCTTCTGCCGTGGTGCATTTTCAAAGGCAATGCTAAGCGCATCTCCTTCCCCAGGAGTCATCTGGAATGTGAACATTGCTGCCAGCTCAGCGCCCAATCCACTAACCGCCTTTTGCACTGGTGTCCACACAGCTCCAACGACCATGTTCAGCCAGTGTATGCTCTCCTCTTCGTCGCTGACAGCACTGTAGACCCCTAGACCTTGCTCCACAATCCGCGCTCGTCGCTGCTGTTCCTGATCCAAGCTCAGCACGACGGTCAGAATCATCGCAAGGCCAGCGCAATGCAGCCACACACCCGGGCGACATCGGCGACATCTCACACGTCGGAGCAGCCTGCGCAGCTTGGCACTCCGAGATCTCACCTGCGATTCTTCGCTCACTTGTCGGCTGGCATCGCCATTCTCCGGTATCAGCTGCTCCAAATGGAGATGCTCTGCATATGAGGACCTCTGAGGCGAGGCGCACAGGATGCAAGATGCGAAACTACCCAGCGGTCCTAACAACTAAAGTCTGTTGCAGCTGAGGCCCAAGCCCTGACCTGACACCATTTGGAGCTCGACTTGAGCGGCCAAGTATCCACGCAACCATCAGAGCCAGAGTCAATGGCGGAGCCAGAGCAACCGTCCTCTCACTTGGACTTCCAAAGGCATCGCGCAGCAGTCGTCGGGCAAACTGCTCCGCAACTCGACGTTGCCTGTGCAGGTGCTGGGCACTCACTCAGCCTAGCTTGCGCGTCGCTCCTGCGCATTTGCCTAGGCCGCGTGACGAGGTAGCTGCTGGCCGAAGGGGAGTTCACCCTGGGCGGCATAACGACGTCTGATAGAAGCAACAACAACGTCAGGCTGCTTTCGGTTTTCAGCCTGGGCTTGGATTGTGTGCCAGCGAACAGCTGCTTCCGTTCAAGCGAAAGCGAATGCTTAGCAAAAGCCGACAAGCTCAACCTGCCGGACCAATCACCGTGCCTCTGAGCACCTGGGACCTACCTTTTTCCCTCTCGCATGGGACCTACCTGAGATTCCGGCTTATCCTCCGTGTCCAGCTTGGGCAAAGGCTGCCGGCTTTGACCCCGCAAAGCAGCTCCCAGGCTTCGCGTCGGCTCACTGAGGACCTCCAAGCAGGAGTACACACGCGCACACAAACAAACAGACAGAGAAGCAGACTAGACATGAATGCATATGGAGAGTGTTTAAATGCATCGGGATGAGACAGAGACACAGAGAGAGAGATAGAGAGAGAGAGTTTCGTGTGTGTGTGTGTGTGCACAAGCACCAAAAGGTATGTTTGCACGGAAGTCTGTATCCGAGCGATCAGGAACGGTATCGAAACCATCCTTCATCCTATCCTGTTCAAAATAGATGCTGCGGTGAACAAAGGCATGCTCTTTTCCCTTTGGGACGCGTATGTGTCAGTTACACTTATGACGATATTCATTGCAGCTCGGAGTAGGTAAAGGCTGTCAAGGCCGTGCTCCTTATAAAGCCAACGGGAGGGTTGGGCCGCGTTCGGATCTGGGAAGTCTGGGAGGGAGAATGCCGCCGCTGTCCTTGTTTCGCGTTTGTAAACCTCCGGGTGGTTGACATGCTGTCTTGCAAGGACCAAAATCTCAAGCGCACAGGACTATGTTTCAATCCCTGTGCTGTCGACACTGCTGTTTCTTCAATTCCTGCTGTGAAGACTAAGTGCAATCAAACGGGTCTGGTAAGCTTTTGCAACCAAATGGGGATAAACAGCACAAAGTGGAGCTCTCCTGTCCAACTCACACCCAGGGTTGAATGTTAAGTTTTCTCAGTTCATCACTCCGGGACGTCAGCATCGCTAGGCACACACTTGAGGAACAACTCACTCCCGCAAGCTCATGGCGATTGCCACGGATCCAAGCAGCTACGCTCTCGCAACTCGGACTCCGCCAGACGAGGTCTGTGTGTCCAACTACGTCAAAATGACTACTCAGGGAGACGGCAAAAGCAGCTAGGCCGGGGGGGGGAATTGCATAGCGCCACCCAGGCCGGGCCTTCACGCTGTCCTCAGCAACCTTTGCGGCCTCACACGTGGCACGTGGACTTTCACGGCCAATGAACGTCGAGCTCAAGCTGAGTGCTTTGTGGCACAACAGATGACCATGCCAGCTTTTTGATAAACACACGGCCCTGAGACATGCTCTGGTAGACCGAACTACGATGATGGAATCAGTTTTCTGGCTTCCACCGGAAGCTCTCAAATCCCGGCCCAAGATTAGATCGCCAAGAGAAAGGTCCTGCTCCTGCCGACCCCCTACAGGAGACCTCCAACTCAGAAACCTGAACATTTTCAAGCCAGGAATAAAGCGCGAGAGCACCTTTCAGACGAGAAAGTGGAAAGTCTCACGGTTTAGGAGTTGATTCATCAGTCGGTTTCCAGGCTTGGTTATTAAGTTAAGGGCTGTCTAGGGTTCAAGGTTGCTTGGCCCTTAGCCGCCTCAGCTGTGATGCCCTCGACAGTGCCACCGAGGCCGATGGTTGCGTTGCCAGCTCCAGTGAGCACCGCTCCTGCTATTCTGTAGACGCCAGCCTCAGAAGAGTGGCCGCATGCAAGCAGCCACCAGGTGAACCGGAACCATTTTTGCCCATGCGTTTGTTTTTCATGCCGATCTGTCTGAAACAGCACTGCCCAGTTGCCAACAGCAACATGCAAAGTTCCGACTGAAATCATTTCAGCAAGGAGCGAAAACTCGTGACGGCGCGGCGAGGGGGCCATGCTTGATCACTTGCGTCTCTCCAAACCTGCGGCAGGGAGGGAACTCAGAGATGCTACAGAGTGGCTCAGCTAGCTACGCTTCCTCCACGATGGGCGCATGCAGTTACAAGCCCCAGGGCTGAGTGTAAGTGCGTAAACGACGTAAGTACGTTACTTACATTAGTAAGACAATTCCGTGAAGCACGTGGATGTATCAGGCACATGTACGTACGTAAGTGTTTGCGTGTGTGATGTATGCATTCGTGCATGTATGCTCGTACCTGCAACGCCGAGACTGTCTTTCCGGGTGGGTGCTGGAGGTAAGCACAAACGCTCGCATGACAAATCAGAAAGCAAGAACGGCCACGGGCCATGGCCGCTTCACTCCAAGTGCCAGCATTTTACCTAGAGCGCCATGTACACTAGCCTGCCTCCAGCGTTCTGGCATGGCTCACGAGCCAGGGCGTAGCGTAGCTTAGCAGTGTACGGTCTTGCAGGCGCAGAGCCAACAGAGCAATTCAAAGACCCGAGCAAAGAACCGAGTACGCAGCAGTCCCACACCCAGGACACAGAGTGCCAACAAATGAGAGAAAGCCAATCGAGCAATGTAGGCACATGCCCGGGCAGGCGTGTAGGTATACGTCTGTCCCTTGCGGATGCATGTAAGTACATGCTTGTGGCACCGATTTTGTTTTGCGTGGGCCGGGGTGTAGCGTGTACGTACCTGCAGACGAGGTGCGTCTGAACAGCCTGCCCCAGGCCGCGCGTGAGACCACCAGTAAGACGCAGAGTCGCCCCGAGGGTGGCGGCAGTGGTGTCACCAACTCCTCGGACCTCCGTCGGGCATCACCGACTCGAGAAACCACCGTTACATCCAGCCTGTGCCTTGTGCTGCACGTTTCTAGGAGATCAACCCCGCCCAGGGAAGTTGTGTTTAAACCTTCACCATGCACTTCGTCCAATTCTTGGAACTAGCTCGCTGCTGAGGCACCAGACCCGCTGTCTCGTCCACGGTTCCTGTGATGGCATCTAAGGTAGCTGCCATAGCACGCCTGGCCTGCGGCCAGTTTTGAACTTCTCCACTTGCAGTCTTGAATGCAGGTGAAGCGCACCTACAATATCAAATCCCGTAAACACCTGTCATATCATATCATATCATCTCACATTATTTATATCATATCCCTTCACATCATATCATGTCATATCATGGCAGATAAATATAATTTGGAGCCGTTTCATCCCTCGCCCCAACTATCATATATATTATGTATAACGATGAAATTACATACGTGTATATATATATACACACAGTCATAAACAAAGATGCATATGTACATGTAAGTACATATATACACATACATACACATATGTGCGTATGTACGTATGTATGTATATGTATATGTGAATGTATATGCATATGTATATGCGTGTAAATATACATATATGTATATATATATATATATATGTGTGTGTGTGTATGTGTGTGTGTGTATGTGTGTATGTGTGTATGTGTGTATGTGTCTCTCTAAATATATATATATATATAGAGTATATACACTTATGCATTTACTTATTCATTTAGCGCATTAGGATCCACTATGTCGGCAATGTGAGACTATGCCTACATACCACAGTGACAAATTGATGATGGGTGGATGTGTGGATTGATTGACTTGTTGGAATGAAATGCTTGACGGATTGACGGATTCACTGATTGACTGACTGACCGACTGACTGACCGACTGACTGACCGACCGATTGATTGTGTGTTTCTTTATGTGCTTGTTTACTTGTTTGTTCCTCTAGTTGTTTCTGTTGTACGCATTCATTCATGTTTTCGGTGCATGCACACATATGAGGTTTGTCCTATATCCTTGTTCCACGCATGCCAATTAGGATCCCTTGTGCTTCGCCCTTGCGCGTTCCTTGGGCGTGCTTGCGCGCACAAGGCTTTTTGAAGATTAGGGTATGTTGCGGTGGTTTGTTGACCTTTGGTGGCTTCGAGTCTAAGCTTCCGCTGCGGGTAAAACACTTGGGCCTTGAACTACCTACAAGGCTGCTGAGTATCACTCTTGAATCAACCTTAACAACAAGCCTTGAGCATAGCTTGCGCTCGCCCTTGCGCGCGGTCGAAAGAGTGTGCACTTTTTAAGCGACCGAGTCTTCGCTAATCGCCCTCCTAGTATTGTCAAAAGACCCCACCAAAAAAGAACAACGCTCATATGCTTCTCATTACTGTATTATACACCTACCTATACCTACCTACACACATGTGTTTGGCACACGCGCTCGATCAGATGGCGACCTACACATACATGCGCACATGCAGTGTAGCTGTACCTGTACCTTGCACATGGTATGTGACCTTAGTCTACCAAGTGTAGGGTCGCAAACGTAGCTTTGCGCCCTGCCTTCCGACCATTGGCGGTGTAGTTGCTTCTGCTAGGTTCCGACCAGTTCCCCAGCGTGACCTCAGTGCCCAGAGCCTCGAACTGCTCCGCGCGCCTCATGGCAAGCTTTCTCACTGGGGAAACGGTGTAAGGCAAGTCGACATCAGTCTGTTCGGTGAACCTGAAGCGACCATAGCCTGCTAATCCCTGCAAGGGTCATCACGGAACCCTGCCAGCGTCAGTATCCTAAAGTCCGGAATCGGGGTCGCCATCGTCGGACGGCATCGGCGGTGGCGGCAACTACCAGTACGACTGTCTCAATCATCCGAGGTGCGTCGGGGGAGTGCTTTGTGCCGCAGACCTCCAGATGAGCCAACTCTGCAGCAGGCATCTGACGAAGTACCGGCGAGGCCAAGACATGGCCCAAGGCCTACTTGCCGGCTCAATGCATGCGACTTCTAATTCTAATTTCCCGATTTACCTATATGAGTAGGGGTTTCGATAAGAACTGGGGTGCGGGAGCCTTCTTGTTGGTTGCTTCATACCAGGGACGCGACCGACAGCTGCTTGATTCTTGTTTCAATGATTCTGGTGGAGTCTGTAGTTTTCTCTTCGATTTGCTTGTTTTGGTCTGCATGCTGCAAGGGCGGCATCGATGGTTGCCGCGAACCCATAGCCCGGAAAGCATGTTCGTGATATTCTCGAGCCATCAATACAAGTTGGAAGTCGCTGGCAGTGTTTTAGACAGCATGGACAAAAGCGGCAAATCCACATAGTTGTGAAAAGGCGTCCTGCCGATGCATTCAGAAGCGGGCACAAGTTGCTCCATGCCCTGCCTTCACCGAGCGCGGCAGCGTGGGCGGGGCCTGTCGAGTGCGAGGGCGGCGCGAGGGTTCAAGTGCAGAGAGGCGGGGCCAAGGGGCCTCCAAATCCAGGTCCTCGCTGGGCTCGCGAAGCCGCTTGAGCGGTTGCTCTGCCACGGGCGCAGGAGCCTCGGGAGCCGCAGGAGCCGCAGGAGGCTCCGGCTCGGGCACCTCCTCCTCTTTCGGTGGTCGCTCTGTCGGCTGGCTAGACTCCTCATCCAGCTCGACCCGGATGCAGTCAGCGGGCGAAGTTGGCTCGTCAGGCCCCTGCAGCTGGACTGGGGATCTGTAGGCTTGGGACGCTTGTTGGGCCGCCTCAAGCACGTGGCGTGGAGGCGTCGGAGTGCGCGTAATCTCCATGTCTTGCCTTGCCGGCTTCTCCTCTTCCTCAGATTCCTGGCTGGAATCCTGGCTCGGGGACTTCTGCCTCACAGGCTCCGGTTCTGGCGACTTCTTCACAGGCTCCTCCGCGGGCTCCGCTGCGGGCTCCTTTGCAGCCGGAGACGGGGAAGGGGAAGCGCCCCTCTTCTCGGGCTCCTGCTTCTCGGCCGCGGTTTCGCTGACCTTTGTTGGCTCCTGCGTTGGCTGCGCAGCTTGAACTGGAAGGGGCAGCGGCATGGGCGGCGGGGGCGGGAGCGGCTTTCGCAGTGCATGCGGCATGGGAGGCACCTCATCCTCCTCCTCGGAGAGGCACACGGCCGTCTCCACCGGGGGCTCCGGTCTTGCTGGCGGCTGCGGCAGAGGCTTGCGTCGGCGTGCCGGAGGAGGCGTCGGTGTTGAAGCGGGCACAGACATCACTGGCATCGGCTCGGGCACA